CTTTGACACCATTATTTGAATGCTAACAATCTTTGATACCATTATTTATTTGAATGCTAACAATCTTTGATACCACTATTTGAATGCTAACAACCTTTGATACCACACTATTTAATTTTAAAATCCATAGCAGTAATCTTGCTACCTCAAAATTACATGGAAGAAAAAATGATGAATGATTTATACTTATCTTAAAAAAGTACCTATCTAAAACTTATTTAAAAAATGTACCCGAGTATGGTATTTGTGTCCAGACAGTCTCTTTGTCCATCTCTTCTGTTTGTACATAACAATTCAATTTATCATCACCTGTCTGTGTTTGTACCTGTAAATTTGAATGCAACAATAATAATGCATCAAATATAAATGTTCAGGTAATTTTTGCTACAATAATTATTGCTTTCTTAATTATAATAGCAGTGATAGTTAAAGCTTCATTGATTAAGATTTAATTTATCAAATTTCAAAAAATATTATTGCTTTATCTTGCTCAATGGGAATTTTTTGCTAATAACAGGTAATAAAACATTGCAGCATATCATCATTTTGCATTTCATTAGTAATACACAAAATGCAGTATGATTCAATTCTGTTCAAATTAACTAACCTATAAAACGAAATGCTAATATATGATTAGTCATAAGTTTTCCAATAATTAAAAATACTTGCTTTTGAATTGTACCTGAATGTAATTCGCATTACCAAACATTTGCACATAGAAATCGTATGCACGAATTACTTGATGATCCAATAAATCAAATTGCACAATTTCCATTCCTATTTTAAAATATAATTCAAACAGTTTGTTCAAATTCCTTTTTCCACTTTTTTTTTTTTTAGCTAAATTAAATATTAGCAATATTTTTATACTATAAAAAGAATTACCAATTAAATTTTTCAACATTTTATATCGACGTTCTACCTCAGACATTTTTTCCCAATTTATTGTTGTTGTTGCATTTGCAAAATCAATTTTCCGTTGCGTACAACCATGAAAATGTATGGATTGCATCTGTAAATTATGTATAAAGTTAAACTTATCGATTGAAAATTTGAAGCTTAAATATTTTTTTTTTTTGCGTGTTTAATTACATCATAACATTTTACAAATATTAATTAATCTGTTAATTACATGTTAACACTTTATAGATATTAATTTGCATAAATTTGTAAATATCACTAATTCTTAATAATTTTGTGACGAAATTAATAGCATAAATTTTGTTGATTTTTATTGATGAAAAAGGATATATTTTATGAGTCAGATGAAAATATTATCAAATCAGTTAAATAATCAAATTTACACTTTTTTCAAACATTTATCAATGCAATATTACAAAATTAAAATCAATAGTTTGTTGGTACATTACATTAATTATCATATAAATTAACAGTATGATTCGTACATTAAAGTTTACCTGCAACGGTTGAACATTGTCATCGGATCGAGAACGATTCATTATGCGATGTAAAAGGGGTGAATTTTCGTATGATTCATTGATTGTTGCATCAATCAACGAATCCCTGTTGGATGTTCCTCCGATACGTGAAATGGTTAAATTTCTCGATACTGCAGAATTTTGCTCACTTTTTTTACCTCGTCCTTCAGTACTCTCTCTGTCTGAACTTTCATTTTCACTTTCTTCTTCAAAATCATCTGAGTAATCTTCGAAATCATCCTAAAATAGTAGTAGTGGCTTTTTTCTATATGCAATGTTCATTATTTAATGAAAAGGAAATTACATCATATCGTTACTCAATTACTCAATAAATATTTAAATATACAGTTTCATAACTGCAAAATGAATGCATTAATTTAGTTAATTTTTTCACGCTTTCACATTCCTATATATTATTTTATTTTATCAGTATTCTTGTTTAAAAAATACCTAAAATGAAATCATTTTCGTATAATTTAATGTAATCTCAATTTTTACCCTATTTGAATTTAAAATTCGAAAAAAAAAATTCGATGTATTATTTAAAAAAAACAAACAAACAAACTTCGTAATCGTATTCATCGATATGACTTAAAGGCACTGCTGGTAAGATTTTTGCACATGTGGGAGGTGGTAATTTTGATGTATGTAAATTTTGATAAGTCGACTTTGAACATTTTACACTCAACGATGATCGTCCAGCCTTATCAATTGAATTATCAGTGATACAATTACTGGAACTCTTATCACTTTTTAATTTTTGCACTTTGTCATCACTGATTTTTGGAATATATTTTGCTTCATGTTTTCCTAATTTTTCACAGCTCTTTTTTCTCGATTTCAACTTTTCCAATTTATTGACAATTATTTTTTCCGGATACTTCTTTGTAGTACTTGTCGAGTTTACTGTTAGAAGTTTGCTACCGGATGAGAGTGATTGCTTCATTTTATCAATTGAATTGGAAATGGGTAAATTTTTTTCAATATCTGTCATCATCATCATCATCATCATCGCATTCTCATCCATTTTCACTTCATTTTTTTTTGCTAATCTTTGAAATTCCTGAAAATATTTTGTGAAAAAATAATTGAAATATTTCACGGTAGGTTAATTGGATTTTTTAACATTTCAACGAAAAATTAGCTTGCTTCGGTTCTTTTTTTTTTCATGAAATAAAAATCAAAAGATTCTCGGATTGATGGAAACTTTTTTCTTCTTCTATAGAAATTTTACAGCAAAATGAATTAATCATCCAACTTTTTTTTTTTTAGTTCATAAATGCTTTTAAATTGTCATTATCACTCATCATGACGTCAATTGGTTACACAATTTACTGAATTATTGAAACTTCACGATGAAAGTTCAGGAAAACAAATTTCTGGCGTAAAATTTATTTTAAAATATTGAGAAATAAGTGAAATATTTCACGGTAGGCTCATTTATGTTTTTGTTTTTTCCATTAAATTTAATATATTTTGATTTCTTTTTTTTAAGAAATAAAAATAAAAAGGATATTTAAACAAGGAATGATTGTTTGAATATTACTAAAAAATAGATGTCAAAATATTAATTTCAATTTAACAAAATCACTTTTATAAATTGTTAAAATTCATATCAAAACTAAATTTGTCATAATTTCAAAGCTTTTTCAAATACTAATATTCTTTCGAAGTTCCATCTTGAAATGTTTTGTCTGAATGAATGCTATCTACAAGATAATTAAGATCAATGAACGATTAAAAGGATATAATAAAAAGCACACAATTAATTAGTATATCATTAGAGAGGACCGAAATAAGTTAATTAGAAATTAAAAACCTTTTTGTCGATATTTTTATTATCTTTTTGTTCCTTTTTCGTTACACTCTTCTTTTCTTTTGTTTCTTTCAGTGAAATTTGCATTTTACTTCCTTCATCTTTCTTTTGACTGAAGTTAACACATTTCATTATGATTAAAATTGTTAATTTTTCATGATAACTGTGATATAGTGATATCAATCAATTATGATTATTGTGATGAAATCAAGGAATAATATGAACAAATTTACTCAACATTATTGTAGTAAAATTAAGGAATAATATCAACAAATTTACTCAAAAATTATATATAAATTTTGATATGATAATTTAGAATGATAAACTAATGATGTAACGAACTGATATTGTTGTATATTCTAATTGCCTTTATTGATTGCGTAGTAACTAATTTCTGTATTTTCGCAAATTCTAAACTTAAACAGAGGTGTACTATGGATTTTACGGCATTATCATTGAAACAAAAAAAAAAAGTATTCTATGCATAAATTATACTTTTCAATAGCTATTTATTTACAAAATTTTAAAATTTACAAGTATATTTTTCATTATCAAGATAATGTTTGGTAATAATTGCAAAAGAAAACCTCTTATCGCTATATTCTTTGCTTCGCGATTTGCTTCTGCTTTTAGGCTTATCCTTTCCTGACATCGTTTCCACTTGTAATTAGCTTTGATATGTCGAAATTATAGCTAAAATTTTAAATGCTTTTGTAGAAAGTCAACTATTAAATAGCATCAGAAGCGGTTAGCTTCAATATGAAAATGTCAAAAATATTGTTGACCTTTTATTAGGATGAAATATTTCAGCCAATCATCTGAATATTTTTCATACATATTACTGTTCCACAACTTCAAATTATTAATTAATTAAACTAGCAAATGCCTCTTAACGATAGCACAACTAAAGCTTAACCATATTCGGAAAAAAATTCTCATATTAATAGCATTTAGATAATCAAAATTACTACATCGATGATAATATGAAAATAAATTAGAATAAAAATATAAATACAAAATAAATTATAATTTCTGATATAAAATAAAGCATCAATTTTGACAAATCTGAATAAATTTAAACTTAAAAACTTCCAAAAATTCAAATTGATTAAATTGAATTTTTTGCATAAAAATTTTGCCATATTAAGTTGAAATTAAACAATGTTTGAAGGCTTTAAAAATTTCAAAAATTTAAATTGATTAAAATGAATTTTACGTGGAAATTAAAAGTTGATAGTGAAGGATATACAAAGAAAGTTAGCGCTTAAAACATGCCATAGGACTGGTATGAAAGCTGTCCTGCTACCCTCTGATATATTGGCAGAAATTTCGTTACCTTGGTTACATACCTATCAAATACTCATAAATATTGATTGAATTCGTTTAAATCATTTAATCAACAATTAATTTAATGACATTCATACTGTTATATATCATTTAAATTAATGTTTCGAAAAGAAAAAAAGATTGAAGTGATAATAATTAAAAGCAAAAAGCAGAAAAGAAAAACATTTAACTTCTTTTTTTTATCCCTTTCCGTTGTTTAACAAAAGCATTTCTAAGTTCATTTTTTTTTTTTTTAAATGCAAACTTTAAATTCGCCAAAAAAATTTTTTTTGATGGTAAAAAAACTTAATTTTTGGATAAAATTGAATTGCATTAAAAAAATCAATAATGAAATGAAAAAATTAACAGTCAATATAAAACCGATATTGTCGTTATTTGAGGAAGAATGAAAAAAAAAAATTATATCGAAATTAATGCGATTCTT